ATGATAAAGAGCTTTGCATTCGTTCATTTAACTATTTATCCATGCTTTGCGTTCTATCTGCTTCCAGAAAGGGTCCTGGCAATTCCCTTGCATGGCACCTTGATGGGTGTATGATGGCCTTTCCTGTTATAAGTGTAAAAGAGAACAATACCTACTTTTCAGGATTGTCATCAGCACTGAAGTCACATACGTAGGATGCATACAAATGCAATCATGGCAGCTAATATTAATTTAGAACAATACTATAATTAAAAATATTTATGATTTAGTGTCAATTCAATCATATGTTAAAATGATGTCAGTGGGCTGGGTGTGGTGGCTCAAGCCTATAATTCCAGTACTTTGGGAGGCTGAGATGAGAAGATTGTCTGAGCCTGCAGGTTCGAGATCAGCCTGGGCCACATGGTGAGACCTCGTCTCTACAATAAATCAAAAAATTAGCTGGTCGTGGTAGCGTGCACTTGTAATTCCAGCTACTTGGAAGGCTGAGGCAGAAGGATCGCCTGAGCCCAGCAGGTTGAGGCTGTGGTGGCCGGGACCATGCCACTGCCCTCCAGCCTGGGCGACAGAGTGAGACTCCAACTCAAAAAAACAAAAAATGATATCAATGACTATAATATTGATATAGTACATGTTAGATGAGAACACTAACACTAACAGAACACTGATGGAGAAAGGGACCATCTTGGCCAACCAGATCAGAAGAACAAATCCTGGAGACCAGCATGGTGACCAGATGGTTCTTATACTTACATAAGAAATATGCTGGAGTGCAGTGGCACACTCACGGCCACCGCAGCCTCTACCTGCCGGGCTCAGGCAATCCTTCTGCCTCAGCCTTCCAAGGAGCTGGAACTATAGGAATGCGCCACCACACCCGGCCAATTTTTTGATTTATTGTAGAGATGAGGTCTCGCCAAGTTGCCTGGGCTGGTTTCGAACCCGTGGACTCAGACAATCCTCTCACCTTGACCTCCCAAAGTGTTGGGATTATAGGCTAGTGTTATCTTGTCATTTGCAACACTGTAGGAATAGAAGGGGGTATTATATGCAATATGATTAAAAAACAAAAACAACCCTAAACCAGTGTGCTTTTTGCCATGAAAAAACAGAATCAGCTGTTCAGAATAAGAATGCATTCAGGCCTGGCATGGTGGCTCAGCCTGTAATCCCAGCACTTTGAGAGGCCAAGGCGAGAGGATTGCCTGAGCCTTGGTGTTCGAGACCAGCCTGGGAAATTTGGGGAGACCTCATCTCTACAATAAATCACAAGCCACTGGGCCCGGCCCATTTCTTAATTTTCAACTCAGAGCTCTGAGGGAGAGAGACCCTTACTGAGCATCAATGGCTGCAGTTTCTGTTTAATAGAACTAGTGGGGACTTTCCAGCTCTGCTTCTTTGACTCCTGGAGAAGGAGAAGGAGGTCAGTTATTATTCTCCTCCTTTTAAAAAATATATCTGAGCCGGGCTCGGTGGCTCAGCCTGTAATCCCGCGCCTTTGGGAGGCTGAGGTGAGTGGATTGCCTGAGCCCGTGGGTTCGAGACCTGCCTGGGCAACTTGGC